GCTGGCAACTAAGCCCCTACCCAGTCTCTTGCTGACTTCCCCCCCAGCGGGATGGGGGAGAAAAGCAGAAGGGCAAAAGGGAGAAGAAACCTCGTGGGTTGAGGTAATGAGTGAAGACGAAAAATAAACCCAAAACAAAACACAAAGCCACAAAACCCAAGTGATACAAAGGCTAACTCTTATCGCTCAGCCAATACAGCAATTTAGTATTGGATGCAGTGGCTGCAGGCACTGATATGATTGTGCTGCGCCTTACCTCCTAACTGTTGGCCAAGAGAATTCCCTTCTCCAGAAGCCCCCCGCTGTCACTGTATTTCCTTACGCAGGGACTGTGCTCAGGCTTGCACAGGCCATGTGAATTTTACTCTAGAGGTTGATCCTGTTAAGCAATTGTAGCCACAGCTCCCTCAGTTGTTTGTTGAACAAGGAGACACTGTGGTTATAAGAAGATCACAACTATCATCAGCCCCATTTTACGATTTTTATGAGCGTTAATGGAACAAGGTTTGGGGACTGAAGGAGAAAATGGAATATGAAAAGGAAAATGAAAAGAGGCTGTGAGGAAAGCATGTCATTTCTAAATGAATGCTCTGTGCAGAGGAATTGAATCTTTTCACAGCTGAAAATGGATCTTAAATCTGATGCCTTAGCTTGTTTCAGCTTCTGTAATGAAATAGAGTTTTCCTAATACCCTGTGACCTGAATTTCTCCCTGCTTTATGGGTGCTATTCCTTGACGTACAAACCTGTATTTTCTCAAGTCAGCATTTGATGATGGATGTCAAAATACAGGTCATGTATTATGCATATAGCATTACCGATTTAAGGTGTTTACTTGTCAAGTTGAAGAAATTCAGAAATGTCACATTCACTGAATCTGCACAGCTGTCACTTGTAGTTATTCATGCCTTTAAATGAAAGTTCTGATAAAGCAGGTTAGTTTTCCTGCACTTTTTTTCCCCCCTCTCTTCTGGAGGAAAAAAATACAGAGCCTATCTATAGAATTTACGCTGTGACTTGGGAGCAGGAACGTGGCCTGAAGGTGTACGATGCCTTGTGACTCCAAATATAGGCACACAAATCCCCAAGTACTCAAATTTTCCTTTCCTGAAAATATTCCAAGATTTTTATATTTTTAAAGAGTGGATTTTTAGAAGTGTCTGAACTAAGCGGAGACAAGGAAATTAAATTAAGATAGCAGATATTTCTCACATCTTCCAAGACCATAGGACGAAAAATATTAAGACATGAGTCTATTTTTCATTCAAGGAGAAAACAAAATCCCTTTAACATGCTTCCTGCATTTCGGACTGAATGCACTGTGTGGGCAGTGTGCAATTACAGAGCTCCTGACAGTCTGTGTCTAACAGAAATGACACATTTACTTCAATCTTCTAACACCATCCTAGGAAGACAAATATTTGAAGGGTTAGAGAGGTGGCTACAAATAGCCTTCGATGGAGAATGTGCATGCGCGTGCCTCTCTGTGTGTGTGCACAGTGCAGTAGAGGGAGGGCAAGAAGGGCTTACACATTTAGACGCAGTTATGCCAACTTTCTTCAATTTTCCTTTTAGCTGGTGGGGAAATACTGATGTGCTCTTACCATCTGAAGAGCCTGATTCACTGAAAGATGTTTTGGGGAGAGAAAAGCCTTCAGGAAAAAGGGAGAACCAGGGCCTCTAGGGATGCTCCCAGCAGTACAACCCCTAGGGTGCATGGGAGCAGGATTAGTTTTCTCTGCTCTCAGATAAGTGAGTGTAAAAAGTCTTGCTGTTGCCATTTTGACTTGTAATTCTGCAGAGGACCCAACTGGGCCTGCCACTTTAATTGCTCAAGGAGTCTACAGCTACCTGAGCTTTTTTTAATGTAGTGTGACAAAAGCTCTGTCCTGCCTTTCCTGTAGCATAACAGGATGCAAAACTTAAACACTGGAGCCTGCTGCAGAAGGAGGTGTCACACTAATACCCACCTGTCCTCAGACAGCGTTCTCTCCCTTTGGAGTCCCACTTTAATTTTCCTGCTGTTGTGAGAGTGTCAGGGTTACCTCTATGTCGTGGTTTAGCCTCAGTTGGCAACTGAGCACCACGCACCGCTCGCTCACTCCCCCCCAGTGGGATGGGAGAGAGAATCGGAAGGGTAAAAGTGAGAAAACTCGTGGGTTGAGATAAAAACAGTTTAATGGGTAAAGCAAAAGCCGCGCACGCAAGCAAAGCAAAACAAGGCATTCATTCACTCCTTCCCATCGGCAGGCAGGGGTTCAGCCATCTCCAGGACAGCAGGGCTCCATCACGCCTAACAGTGACTTGGGAAGACAAACGCCATCACTCCAAACGTCCCCCCCTTCCTTCTTCTTCCCCCAGCTTTATATACTGAGCATGACGTCCCGTGGTATGGAATATCCCTTTGGCCAGTTTGGGTCAGCTGTCCTGGCTGTGCCCCCTCCCAGCTTCTTGTGCCCCTCCAGCCTTCTCAGTCGGTAGAGCACGGGAAGCTGAAAAGTCCTTGGCTAGTGTAAACACTACCTAGCAACAACTAAAACATCGGTGTGTTATCAACATTGTTCTCACCCTAAACCCAAAACACAGCACTGTACCAGCTACTAGGAAGGAAATTAACTCTATCCCTGCCGAAACCAGGACACTCTAACTCATGAGGTGGTGGCTGAAGGAACTCCCTTAGACTCACTTTGTGAGTCTGAGAAATCCCAGGCTCTGCCGTGCAGTAGTAAGCATTCACAGAGCCGATAGGGCTATCAGTCACAGTGCCAGACACAAGGAAACATCTGCAAACCGATACCAGTTGGGAATGCAACTCACTGTCACCATGCCGGTCTTATTGAATTAGTTTCAGCACAACGAATAGTATTAAATGACCAGCTGTTAACATTGCCAACATTTCCGATTGTCTCTAAGAAATCTGCTTTCTAAAGATTTTCTATGCACTGGTAATATTAAATAGAATTGCTTTGCTGTCTTAGGTTTGCCTATGGTGATGTTTTTGTCTCGCAAGCCTCTTGAAGATACCGCATCCGCTTCTTTTCTCCTAAGGAATTTCTTCACAGACTTTTCACTCCCTTTTTACTTATCCTGTCCTTACAATCCTCATGTTGTATCTAACTTTCATGTGATAGTCAGGAGGAAATTCATACTGGTAAGGGCTAAGTAAGTCTCTCTTCTCAGTGATTCTAGTTTTATTACCTATATGTTCTATATGTGATACAGACAAAACATAGGGAGAAATGAACTGAATATCAAATAAAAATTTAAAACCCATTACATCAAGAAGTCCAGATCTAGTGGTCCTTATAGTTTGTATTGTTTAGGGACAGCTTAAGTGTGATGGTAATTATCACTGGAAAAGAACCAGAAATCCCTCAGAAAGACAATATAAAGCCAGTACCACATGTTAACAACTACAGTTTAGTTTACAGATTTCCTGGTTTGTAAATTAGTCCCCAAACTGAAGAAAGGTAAAGTAGATAATATCATATCGTCATCTTCTGAATTCAGTAGCAGATGAATGTATCAATGAATTTAACGCAGTGAAACAGTTTCCACTCTGCAAGAAGATAATGAAGTTACATCAGGAATTAATTCATCTGTGATTAATTTAGAATTGGTATATGGAGAATTCAAAACTAGTTCAGACCAGTAATGACAGAGGATCAAAAGTCTGTCCCTGGATGTCAGGCGTGAAGTCAAAGAACTCGGGCATAATGTAGCAAAAAAATGAATATTTTCTCATAAATGTCTGTTTGAAAGTGAGCTTGGCTAAATCCTATTCCTAGCAGACAAATATTTGCTTAAAAATGCTGCCTTGACGTTGGTCTACATGAAACCCTGAAGTCAACTCTGGCTTCACCATCACTTCTGCAATAATGACATCAAATGAGCATTCCCATGCTTTTCGCTGCTTTAACGGACAAGGGAGATGGAATGCATTAGTCTCAACTGTGCATTTCCAGTCCAACTGTTGCATGGGCTTTTGTATAACTGCCTATTTTTCAGTACTTACAATCAAACTCCAAAAGGCTTTGCCTGGGTATTTTTTATTTAAAAAACAAACAAACAAAAGATTAAAAAATGCTCGGTGTCAAGAGCTCCATTGCAAACTGTGTAGAGAATCAGGCTGAAAACACAATCTTTTTTAGAGGTGAACCTTGCTGCTCTCCAGATCCTTTTTTTCTTTGAGTGCCTGCCAATGTGTTTCTTCTCCCACCTTTGTTGCCTTTACATCCCCAAAGGTATAAAACTCTTTCTAGTTTCTTTTCAAGCATTCCTCTTACACACCAGTTGAAAACCTGTGTCTTTTTCCTTCCATCCTATCTTTTTTTTCCTGTTAGAATGGGCCCTTCCATCCCCGTATTCCTATAATTGTAATACTCATTAAGTTACGTATTATGAATGGTACACCTGAAAAGAAAAAAAAACACCTTTGTGTAGGTTGTATTGCTCCTGGAAAACAGCTAGAAAATTTTAAATCCTGCATGTTGATCAAACCTAAAACCTGCTAATGGAAGCAATTTGTTCCTCGTGGTTGTAATACTGTTTACAAACAATACTCTTTAAAATGTTAATTGAGGTTTAAGGAAAGGTATTTGTTTCAGGATTACTTGAAATACTAATAGGACAAAATTAAACCTCTCTAACACTGAAGTTTTTATTTTTCTATTTATATTTAAGTAAGCATTAGTCTTTCCATTTTTCACGTTTTGATGCAAAGGCTACCTGGGATAACAAAATAAATTTCAGTTTCTCCATTAGCTACCAAATATCTTACAGTAGAAATGACCTGCATATTTGTGAAGGATTATGCTTTTAAGAAATAATTGTTGAAAATGAAGTCAATGGTTTTTTTTTAAATGACAATTTTTTTAACATACTTTTCTGAAAAAAACCCAATAATTAGAGATAGGGAATTCCCTGTTGGTGGGGATTTTTTTTAATATAGTTTGTCCTGTGTAAACTTTCTCTTTTTTTTTTTTTTCTTTTTTCTTTTAGGCTTTACACCCCCTGGGATGGATAGGTCATCTCCAGACAACAGTCCAGTCCATGGCCTGTTACGTCAACCCTCCATTACAACAGGAGCCAACATCCCTATTATAACAGAGCTAGGTAAGAAAAGCTAACTTTTATCCTTTCATGTACATTCCCATATCTTTTTCCCACTTCCCTTGTTATGCAGTCTCAGGGAGGTTACCTATACTGTATCTTACACTGCGATGTTTTCCCTTCCGATAACTGTTTTGAATTACTCTCTCTAAAGAAAGATTAGTAACAGTTGTTTCACTTTATTTGAATAACTGAAATATATTTCTCTCTTCCCTTTGGGTTTTCTCCATTTTCTTAAATAAACACTCTATCAGACAAGATGCTTTTTACATAGTGTAACAAATAAGCAGGGGTCTTTGGGCTAAGGTTAGGAAAGAAAAAAACCACAGTAAGTATGAGCAGACATTTCCTGTGCATTTAATCAATAGTAAGAGGCCATTTGTTTATTTCTTCATGGTCCAGAACTGTTTAATCATGTGTAACCAAACTCTGTATAATAGTATGAGACATTTTACTCCTGAGAATACGATGATGGTAGGTAACCAGGCTCTGATTTCCACTCTAGCTGTGGGTATTTATGTTGTCAAGTGGTGTGATGTGAAGTGCAGAAGCTGTTCTGTTTTTTTCATGGCAAATACAAACTTGATTTGTGGTCCTTTGTCCTTTTATTTTCCTTTTCAGTTTTATTTTTTAGAGCCTTACCTGTCTTTTTCCCTTACTTTATTCTCTTTCTGTACTTTCTTTTCCCCCTAAATACTTTACTTATTAGCTAAGCCTGGCAAACTTCTGCCTTTGGTTTCAATCAGTCAGGAAAAAAACAGTGGAACCCACATTCTAATGATAACTGAACTGGGTAAGAAGTGCCTTTTTCCTTCACATCACTGTCTTATTTTCTGTTGTTGTTGTTCTTACTGTCATCAGCTTTTTCTTTATTTATCTGGCTGTATCAGAGGGGCTACCCTCATGGCACTGCTTTGAATGTGTTTTATTTGTGGTTCTGGTTGAAACTGACTGTCTTGTTCTGGCCTTTCTTAATGATTTTTTTTTTTTTTCACGCAGCATCAATAAACCTTTGATCACACTCGTCTGACCTGCCGGCTGTTTTCATAGCACCTTCTCACCAATTCATTTTCTTTGGCCTGGGTCCCCACCTCCCGGACCCTACCCCCCACCACTAGTTTTTCTCTCCTTTTCTCTCTTTCTTTCGGTTGTTGTTATTTCAGCCTAATGTCAGTTTGGTGGACATGCCTTAGCAGTTCTCGCAGGAAGTCAAAGAAGAAGTAAAAGATACCAGAAAAGAAACCCCAGCACCATACTTTCCCTTAAGCTGTTTGTTTGTTTATTTTGGGGAGTAGGCCTTTTCTCAGAAGCTCAGGTTTTGAAGCTGTAAAAAAGCAGCCAAGCTTCTGCGTTGCTCCCTCTCAATAAAGAGAGCTCTGGCCAGCTTTTGCGAGCGGTGTTTGATGAGCATTTCCTATGGCGCAGCACCACACGTTCGAGCCTACCTCACCTAGCCGGGAGGCCTTTCGTAGAAATCCTAGCGTCCTAATTTGCATCAGGAAGATAAAGATATTGAGGATAAAACCACGCTTGCGGTATTCGGGTTAGATTTGTAGTACCTTGGAAACTGACACCACGCACGGCTAGCAACCTGGCGTCAAAGTCAGGTTATTAGTCTGCTGGATGTAAGTGGAGCAAGAACGTTGCTGTCAATAGTGCCTACTCTCAAGTAGCAAATTAAACTAAGGCACGAGCTCTTCAAAAAGTACATTTTGAAATGATACGTCGGGCTTTCAAATACTATTTTGCTTGAGAATCTGGAGAGTAAATTGATAGCCATTGTACAAGGAAAGGGGTGTTGTGGATATTAGTGTTTGCTAGGATGAAATTCTTCTGACTTCCAGGGCAGAACACTTCTCCGTTTACAACGCTGAGGTGTTATATTTTCATGGTTACATCAAGGAGTGGGAAGGCAGGAATTTTAAATCCTACTTCAGCTCAGGTCCTGACTTACTGTATGATCATGGCCAAGTACTGGCTCAACAGGGCTCTAAAAAAAAAGGATAACAATTCTCGTCTCTTTTAGACAGCTATTGTGAGGCTTTATCTATAGTTCTTCATGTTTTGTAAGCTAAGCATGGCAAGCTCAGTAGTGTACACAGGTTGGAAAAGGAGTGGATGGAAAATGAAACTATATAGGAAGGAAAGTCAGAACAGCAGGCAGCAGACTTTCTAACCCAAGAAGTCCAGAGCCGAAACCTGATCAAGTTAACAGCAGCTCTCATGTTGGTTTCAAAGCCCCCTGGATTGGCTCAGGAGACCTGTTCACGTGGGGAATAGGGGCATAGTCAATGCGTGCAGTTTCAAATGCTGAAAAAGTTTTTAATTTCCTTTCCTTGCATGGGAACTGAAATTAATTTGTCATTTAGTAAGTTAAAGGGTATTTCGATGGCATAGCTAAGCAGTCTTTGCTTTCATGCCTGAGGAGGACTAATATGGAAATGAAGCATTTCATGAAATATGATCCACTGATCTCAAGGAAACAACTATTTTTAGTGATGAGGTGGAGGCAGAGAGCTTAACTGTGACAATGAAATGCCAGAGAAAGTCTAAATGACAAATATTACTTTATTTGGGCTTTTTCTTTAGAACAGCCTGATGTAGATTCTTTTTCACACTGGCTAATATAGAATTTGTGGCTAAGGAAGTGAAGTTATGGAGACAAATATTTGAACAAAAGGCAGTGCTGCAAGAGAATAGCTAGAGTATTGCTCATTCATTCAGATAGATGCATGCTAAAGCCACAGTTTATACGCTTTTGAGCTGAAAGTGCATTAACACCACTCCAGTAAGAATCACAGCAGCACTTCTAACAGATGCCTGTGGGCTATATCAGAGTTTAATGGACAGCCTTTATTTTACAAAGGGATTCTGACTTGGTATCTTGTGATAACATTTCACTGTACATGCATACAGCCTTAGCCACTGTACCCGACCAATACCAAGATTGTCTCAATATATAAAAAAGCATCATGTATCTCATTTTGAGTGCAGGCAGCTGGTGCCACGAAGCTACTTTTACGGCAAAGGGATAGTCACCTTTCAAGAGCAAGAGAGTCACCTCTTACGAGCAAGATAATGATCAACAGATTTTTAAATGCACATTTTCACATCCATCTTGATTTCATTTTCAGTGACGTCAAAGACACAAGTCTGTGTTTCCAGACATATGCCGTTTCTTTTTCTTTCTGACTGTGTAATGTGTAAGGTCACATCCTGGTGACCCAGAAGCACCTTATGATTTATTATTATTATTATTATTATTTTCAGTAAATGATTCAAATGTTCAGTTCTTGGACCAAGATGACGATGATGATCCAGACACAGAACTGTATCTCACGCAGCCCTTTGCATGTGGAACCGCATTTGCTGTCAGTGTGCTGGACTCTCTCATGAGCGCAGTAAGCAAACAAAACCTTTTCCGTTCTTTTCCATTAGACTTATTGTGAAAAAGTATGAAAGCGTAGTCCCTTTTCCACAGGTAGTCAGAAGAAGACTCTTTTCTCTTAGATGGCAAGAGACTTTCAGAGCCTGAATTACGTTATTTTGTAGTTGGACACAGGGACCTTAAAACAACTGAGATATCTAGGCCTACCATGAGTCCACAATTTTAAAAGCAAAGAGAGTCTCATGTTTGGCTTTAAGGATAATATTTTCCAAAAATGTTGTATCTCCCTCCTGAAACCCAGACCCAGATTCAGTGTGTCAGTCCCTACTCTCACCGTTCATGTCAGACACCATCAACCGTGCTTTAAGCTTTTAATTTCCTGTAGCCGTGAACAATGTTCTGAGTATGAGTGCTGGGGGACACTGACAGGACTGTACGAAAGCCATTGTACACATCAAGTGAACTCTACTTGTGTGAAGAGAGGTCATCGTCTCTTTTTCACATGAGCTGTCTTGCGAATGAAAACATAAGTGCATGCCAGAAACTACAGATGGTGGCCTTCGGTTATGTCTACATTAGGGGTTTTGGTTTGCAGCCATAGTATAGTTTTGAAGCAAATACCTCGGTCATGGTCATACTCCTTTTCATCCTCCCTTGCTTCATATTGGCTAGGTTTTCAGACCAGTCTTGCTCTGTGTGAGCTGCACTGCTTTCAGAGGAACCTTAAGCTCTGCTAGATGTAGCAAGGACAAAGCCTTTTTAAAATCGAAGCATAGGCTTTCTGAGCTCCCCGTGGAATAAAGTTCCATGGTGCTGGGAATCACCTGTTGTAAACCCCATGTAATAGTAGATATGAGCAAACAGATCTTAAAGGAGCCAAGTGTGACCTTCACCTAAATTCAGAACGAAGCTTTTTACTTTTAAGAAAAAATCACAGTGATCTTTATTATTTGATATTTTATTTGTGTTTCATATTTATGTATCTGTATTTCATATTTTTATTCCCTGCTATATTCCTCATACGTTCCATCCACAGATGAATAATATCAGTCTACACTGATAAAATTTTATTCTAATGCAGCCTAGGAGTTTGCAATAAACTCAGAAAACACTTTTTTTTTAAGGTTATTGGCCATATTTTGCAGACGTGACAAATTCAGAAAGCCTAAGCAAGCACACTTAAACTCTGTACCTTCTCTAATTAAAATGTCTATGAATAAAATATTCAGCATTTTCACATTATAAATGGGAATAATTTAACGTGAAGGTTCCAAACTGTTATATGGAGAGCTGTTTATCTACTCACATTATTATCTAAATCAATGTCCCTGAATGAATCGTCCAGTAGGGCACTTCCAGAATCTTGGAAAAAGTAGGGTTAATTCTTCTGATTGCCACTGGCAGTGCCACAAAAAGAGAGCGAAATGTTGTGGACACGGTTGGTTTCTTGTGCAAAGGTATATCACGTAGATAGTAGTGAGGCGATAAGAAATATGCGGAACATGACTGTTCAGAAATTTTTACTTGGAACTTATCATATAATCCTCACAACATTTTTAGTTATTGCTAGCTTTTATTAACTTCTAGTTTTGACAACATGCCCGTCCGTTTCTGCAATTCCTTTCTTCAACAGAGTCTTTTTTTCAAACATTTTCACGTCTAAGTGGTCATATTATATGTCAGGGACAGGTGCAGCCTGAAGCCAGAGAAGTAAATGTGATAACAAGAGTAGAAAATTCTAACTTAGAAAAAATACTAATCAAGAAGACAAGCCAAGGATTCAGTCAGTTAGAATTGTTCACCATCCTGTCTTTTCTTTCACCACTTTGCTGATCGGTGGCAGCGGTATTTTCTCTTTTATTCCTCAAAGGCCTAGTAAAGACTTGGAAAAGTAAAATTCTTCCTGACCCTTCAGAAAGTGTTAAGATGTGTGAGATGTTTTCCCTTTACTATCCCTATTCTCATGGGAAGGATGTATTCTCCTTTCACTTCTTCTCCAAGGAAAAGAGTGTTTCTCACACAAACTAATCTACTTGCACTATATTATCTCTTTTTTTTTTTTTCTAGAGTACACTTGTTTTTAGGGACAGGCTTCTATTTATTCTGCCTAACTTCAAGCCAGTACCGGCAAACTGAACCCAAAATCCTAACTAAATTGTGAGATCTGCAGTCACGCTTTCATCCTATTAATTGCACAGGAATTCTGTAAGAAGGAAATAATTCACACTGTGCTGGCCTGTGCCAGCTCACTTTGAGACAAGGATACAGTTCGTTTTTCAATCCACTTAGTGATTCAGGGTTTTTTATTGCTTAGATTTTATAGAAAAATTCCGACTTATGATCTCTGTTGATATCTCTGGAATGCAAATTCCTTATATGGCCTACAATACAAACGTACAATGCATGAACTGCTCCGTTAAGAGTGAATCCCTTCTCACAGTAGTGGGGTTTTGTAGGAAAACGGGTATAAGAAGGATTAGAAAGTAGAATGATACCCATGCATACAGTGTTCTTTCTGACCTGCAGATGATTTGAAACATACATACAGATGTATGTCTATAGAAAAAGAGGTACAAAATATATTTAAAATAATTTGCTAAAGTGTTCAGTTGTTGAGTAATAATAATTCAACAGTATTAATCAGTGTTAAATTATTATTTTCTTTTCTATAATTTTATTAATATAGAAGTAGTGGACTAAACCCTATTCATGAATCACAGATTAGAAAAAGTGTTGTCGCTTTCAGATTCAAATCTGCATGCTGAAGATCATTACATTCTGCTAGTTTAGCATTACTTCCTATAAGATGACAGTATTAGATATTTTAAATTTGAAATTGTCTGTTATTTTCTTATTTCAAAGATAAAAGGTTTAACGAAGTTTACTTTTCAAAACGCTATCTACAGGCTGTCTACACACAGTTTGTCCTCCGCAGCAAAGGCAGGATATTCCACAAGCCTACGATTCACAGCGTGGTAGTTCGAAGATCATTGCTCAGAAGACAATAGCGAACTCAAAAACTGCATTGTCTTTTTGATGAGTTGGTAACAGTGGCCTCTCCAGGCTTCGGTCAAAGTGCATTATTGTACTCTGTGTGAAGACTGTAGGCATGGTTCATGTTTTAAGTGTGGCAGCGGCTATTGTTAAATCGCACCAGCTAATCATTATTATGTCTTTGAAGAGACATCTACTGCCATCAGAGACTTGAATGATATATTAATATTTGTTTTGTCAATATGCAAACCCAGGGACAGCGTATAAGTAGTCTGTCAGTCTCAAGGTGGCGCTGCTCCTGAAAAGCAAAGCACATTCTCGTCACCAAATTGGATGTGACTGAAAAACATGGGATCGGAAGCATCTTTTAGATAATGTGGATGTTCTGTAAAAAGACTATCTTCAGCTGTAAAAAAAGTTACATGACATAGAATAGCTTAAGAGAAGCAAATTTTTGAGGAGAAGTACTTCTTCCTTTTCTGGGTCTTGTTGAGATAGTACAGAAAATCCTGTGCGTGCGAGGAAACCAGTTTTATCAACACACAGTACCACCAAAGGTTTGAATAGTTGGCCTGAGAGCCAAACTTCTCTGTTATTCCTTTTGGCGCTGAAGCTACGAAAACCACAGAAATTCTGGCAGGTTGGCATCCCTCCCATACATACCGCTGACAATAGACTTGATATACTGTCGGAGTGGTGCCGTTAGAGGCAAGGATCTCCAGAAGCAGATTATACCATTTAACATTTGATATCCTAGAATTTATTTCCTTGTGCTAGAACTTTAGGTCCTGATTTTTGTTCTATAATACTAAATTCTACTTTTTCTTCATACAAACGAAAGCACAGAATGGAAAACAATAGTTAAAACAGTTAAAAATAACTTTTCAGTATATCCCTTATTTAAGAGTTCTCTCCCAGGGATCCTCACAGTCTTATTTATACACAAAAGAAACTGTTCTAATCTATGATATGGACGTTTTGAAACACAAGACTATTTTTTGTGCAAGTCTGTTCAGGGGCAAGTCTGTTACAAGATGCAAGTAGCATCTTGTAACCTAAAGTGTCCCAAACTTCTTTAAAGTTGGGACAGTATTTTGAGAACCAATAGATTTTTCAAACTGTGGAACGCTGTTATTTATTTTCTGCTGTTGATTCTGTCTCAAAGGCCCTTTTGTTATTGGTATAAGTTACTGATGTCAGCTTGGTCGTTCCTCAGATTTGGATAGATATTATTCATTCGACAGAATTCCTCCAACTTAAAGAGAAAAGCAAGTTAAAATATTTGTTTGAAAGCGATGTTAAAAACTGCATGCAGTGGAGGAGGAGTCGTCTTAAATGAAATCCATAAAAAACCACTAGCAAACACAAAAAAAAATGGCAGATATGACTTGGAAAATGACAATTTTAGAGTAATTATAAATGAAAGGCAAAGTGCTATTAAAGTTAAAGGAATGTTATTAAAAGATGTGCTAATTTTCAGTTAAATTTTCTGTAAAAGACCAATTAGTTTAAAAGGCTTGACAGCATTAACTGCAAAACATAAGCACTCTGGTAATTATACTTTAAAAAATGATTGAACAAATGGGAAAGCATCCCCGAAATGTTTGAAAGAGCTGCCCTACAATTCCGGAGCACAGGCTAGATGGCACTGCTAGCTCAGATATCTATGTCAGAATTTCCTTGCTATTTACCCAGTTTCAGTGTCTATGATGCATTTCCTTTTTTCTGTATTTGGACTACACCTATTTCATATTCTCATTCCGGATGCCGATTATAGCGATGTCATACAGATGTCCAGTGTGGGGTTCAGTTAATGGCAGCAGCAAACAAGTATTGCTTCAGTTATGATTTTACAGTCAACAGAAGGGATTCACTACCGTCACTGGAAAGTGTCTTGTTACTTTAAGTACAGCAGCACCTTTCCAAAGACATTCTGTAGATCGGTTTCTTATGAGTACTGGCATATCCAGGCCATGTACCCTCCCACAGAGCAAGTAGAAGATCACTCTCAAATTAATTCCAGTGTATTATTATTCCAAGGGAAATGGATATCGGCTAGTTCAGCTTTTCAGTGTCCCCCAGTTCCAAACTGGCAAGAGGTAATGAGAGGAGGCCGATTTTCGTGGCAATCAAAAGCGTGGACAGATGGGTTTTTCCTGAGGAGTGTTAAATACATTAGTACAGGAGGAAGTAACCCTATTTAGCAGAAGGTGACAAGTTACCGCTTCCTATTCACCCATCCTTTCTTCCTTATGGTTGGGCATTTTCCGATCGGTTGCAATGCCAGAGCGGTCCGTCCTGAAAGTTGGAATCTTTTCACTCATTGATGGCAAAAAACCAAAACCCATCATTTGGCTGCACTCATCCATCTGATTAAATGGTGACATCCACATCAGTCATGGTGTGAAACCCAAATTAAGCCATTGTTCCAAGATAAATGTTGCCTCCTTTGCTAATAAGTGTCTTAGCTTTGCCTTAACATTTGTCTAGCAGTGGGAGGCCTTTCTCCGGTGACAGCATTCTGTTCCATTGACAATAGACCTGATTCTTTTCTCATTTGCATCAGTTTCATAGTCGTGTATGGCTCCCAGAGTTACTCCCAGTTGGTACCTGACATAAGTCAGAATTGGGCCCATTATGTCTTAATTGCACTGGGATTTGGGGGGAGGGGTGTATTTTATTTTATTTTATTTGTATTAATGAATTTGTGACAGGTGCCTGACTCGATACGTTATTTTACTACTGCTTTCATTTCTCGGTTTAATATGAGATCTGTAGTAAAATGAGCGATATGGCCACGGTATAATTTCTTAGTAGATCATGCTCTAGTGAGCTACAACTGAATTTACGATAAGGGGTAATTGTGCACTTGCACAGTACAAAATTCAGATGAGCTAAGAGTATATGTGTTTAAATCTTGGATTCTGGCTATAGTTGCTATAATTTGAATTACAGAATAAAGCGAGAGAGAAAGAGTTGGAAACCAGTGAAGGCTGGCCTAATGATACCTCCTAAGGAGGTAATGAAATTATTAGTACAATTTTAGACTTTTGCATGTTTTACCAACCACTGCAAGTCAGCAGTCTATAAAACCAGGCTATTTTACACGAACCAGCTTCCATCAGTCTTAGAGCAGGTGAACATTTCTTCCCATAGTTGGCCTCATTGTAAACCAGATTTGAAAAATCTACCAGTTTTATATGCTTTGCTTTTGTTTCGTGTTCTTCTATCTTGATTTATAGATGTAAAACTGAGAATAGCATTTTTGAATAATACTGAATATCACTCCTTAGAGAAGAAAAAGGAATCAAAAATACTGAATAAAAGAGTGGGGAAGGCATGAGAAAAGCTACTGTTGCAGAAAATGGTACGCTTTTGTGAAGATGTGTGCTTAAAGTGCCATATAGAATATGTTGAAGCACATTTTTACTGAACTGGCTTTTCCAGCTTCTACAATTGCAGTGCCTCCAACCTCTAGATCTGGCAGAATTTGGCTTTATATCCGTGAAACCGGTGTCGAGTAGCATTGCTGCCTAACTGCAGGAGCGCAGGAATTGTGCTAATTATTTTAGTTCTGAGTGGTATATAGTATACACTGACAAAGGCTAAGAAAAGAGACTAAATTTAATGACAATTTTTTTATTCTGAGTACTTCCATGTTGGAAAAGTATAGTACAGCGGGAAGAGTTGCCAAAGAGGGCAACTCTGATTCTCACCTCAGGGACATCACGGAAGAAGTAATTGAAGAATAAACAATCGTGCCCGAATGTCTTCTCTCTCTCACCACGGCAATTCCTATTAAACATCATGTAATCACTCCAGACTTCATTCCTGCAAGGGGTCACATTGATTTTTCTATATGTTAAGAAAGGTTTGAGTAGTAACACTTGAATTGTTACACAGTGCATCCACATATGTAAGAGCTGATTTGAGATTAGCTGTTGTTTTATCCTAACTGAATCTTCCTGAACCCCTGCTAATGTCAGACAACTCTTTACAGTACACTTTGTATTTAAAATATGTAGTGCCTTACCCAGGCGAATTTAAAATAACTGGAGTTGATGAGATGCAAATATTTGCTTTTGGGCATGTATAGCAATAACAATATGTTCCTCTCATTTTAATTTAGTCAACAGGTGAATGGCATATATGCCTATGTAAATAAGCAGAGAAGCTTGAAGTTATGAAACTTCAATGTAACAGTGAAAAACGTTGCCGCGTAGAATTCATTTTCTCCTGTTTTATCTGTCATCACAAGCAAACAATAAAACTGAGGTTTCATTATACAAAGGAAGAATATCAAAGTAACATGGATAGGAAGCCAGTTCTGCTTTTTGATCTCAGGATAAAATATTTCAACCTGTACCTCAGTTTACCCATGTATTAAATACAATTACATTACATGGATAGGGCAATGAATTTCATTGAAAAGTATTATTTAAAAAGTATTATCTTTGGACAACAAGCATTGTTTGAGAATTCAGCATTCATTTTTGCTTTGTTGGATTACAGACATTTGTTCCAAGTCCTAAGTTCAGCAAAAGTCACAAATCTAGCACCGGAATCCACCAATCCAGTAATGTTAGTCCTGGGTACCCTACAGTGAGCTCATTTTCTTCTCGTATGTCCCCCACGCTTGCAAAGGTTCTGAAAACACAGGCATTAGTGACATTGTAAGCGATGGTGTCTCCTTTTTTTGTTCAACATTATTTTTTGCCCAGTACGTTGCATTGCAGATATTTAACTGAGTATCTCTGAACTATACCGGTATACTTTTAAGTGAACTTGAAAGTCATTCATCTGGCATTAAATTAATATTTAAAATACCCATTGTTTGCCTGACAGACCAGCAATGCTACAGATGCTGGCAAAATGTCAGTGTGGAGTAAATCTTCCCTAATAAACCACACTTACCCTATACCCTAGAGTTTTTTAAAAGGACCACCAGGATCCCAAACTCATCATACATTTATCTGGAATGAACTCAAGATGTTTAATTGATACATGCTTATGTCTGAACACTGTCAAGTCTCGTAATAAGATGTTTAGTACAATACATCAGTTAGACTGCTAGAGTCCAGCCACAGTAATAAGTAATGACATTTGCAGCACAAAGGCAGCTCCCCAACGAATTGGTGACAAGAGTAAAAAGGCAATCTAGCCTGTGTAAGCTTTAAATGTGGTCTGAATTTTACAATTACATGTCCTAAAGCCCATTATTAGACATGAAGGCAATGAGAAGGAAAGCAGTCATTGCATCACTACTAACACCAATTATAGGAAACATAAATCATTCAAATTTTTGTACTTTAATAAAAATCAGCCTGAATTGGTGTTTAAAAGGAAGGATCTAGTGTAGGAGCCTAATGGGATAGAAGAAAATAGAGTAATTGGAGGCTGCTGTCTTTTCACTTTCTATATAAAATTATTTGAAGAGACAGCCAAGAACTTTAAACAGCAGAAACCCAGAAAAGTTGTAATTTGGATGTCTTCAGTTGTGACTTTAATGGTGTTTGCTTAAAGAGCTTTCTTTTATCTCTGCAGACATACTTCAATGACAATATCCTCACACTGATACGGACATTGGTAACAGGAGGAGCCACACCAGAGCTGGAAGCACTGATTGCTGAGGAAAATGCATTGAGAGGAGGTTACAGCACGCCCCAGACACTTGCAAACAGGGACAGGTGTCGAGTTGCTCAGTTGGCTTTGTATGATGGGCCGTTTGCAGACCTAGGGGTAAGATCACGGGGGAAACGTACGACCGAGGCTGGTCTGCCATCTATTTGTTTTCTCTCAGATGGAATTAAAAATCTATCTTGATTGGCGTATAATTTCTATTATTTAATTTAATAGAGCTTTTGGATCGTTTGACAATTTACAGCACAGGGTGCCAGGTTTGCTCTTAGCCTTTTTAAGAAGCTATATGACTTCCCAGGCTCCTTGCCTGGGTATTTCATACAGAAAATCCTGTGGTTCTTCTTAGTTGTCAGCTAATGAGATGGATGAGCTGACTCGGATTATATAACCATTCTAACAATAATCCATTGTAAACATGAGGAATATCTATACCTTTGTTGGGATTTGATAAGCTTATTTAGTCTTTCCACGGAGCTTCCAGTTCGTGCTTAAAATCTGCTTATCAGCTTGAAAACAAAGCTATAAGGTTTGTTTTCTGCTGTTTCTGGATGAACTAAAATTCTTGCAAAATCCTAATTTTCTGACGTTTTGACTCCACTATCCTAAGAGTGAAGTAAATGATGATGATGTAGGATTTGATATTTCTTAAATTAACCTTGTGTTCACCAGCTCTGTTCAAAAAGAATGGAGCGACCTTCTTCACAGCAGTGACAGGGAATCCCAGTTTAAGGATTAAGGGTGATGAGAGTGCACAGATAGAAGTAAACAGCCTTTCAGTTCATGTAGAAGTCCATTCATAGCTGAGACTAACAGCTCATCAAAACACTTGGGCATGCGGCATAACGTTTCCACAAATAAAACGAGCACTACCAATCCTTCAAACGCTATTTCGCCAGAGCCTCAATTGCACTACATCAGTGAAGGCAGAATGCATTAACACTCGTCACTACTTAAGAGTCAATGTTTTAGATATACAAATCATCAAATCTAAACTTTTTTTTGCTAATCAAAACATTTTATATTATTTATGAAAAATGGCATACAGTTCATCATTATTTTAAAGCGGGAGATATTTTATTATCCTTTTAACCCCTCAGAACTCTAATTTCTGTTGTGCTCCCCGGTGAATTTATTTGTCTAGATGACAGTATGGCTACTGCCAAAAAAGGGTCAGAAACACTAACAATTTTAATACCACAGTTAACGTAATTCGTAGAATATGCATTGTTTGGTACCAAAATTTATATTACCAGCTTAAAGCAAATCATTCACTCTTCCCAGTTTACCGTCTTTTCATGGACCAAGGCTCTCCAAAATAATGATGACTTTACATAATTATTTATTTGAAATAAAACATTTAGATTATTCATTTCCTTGGGTAAAAGATTCTCAATTGTGACAAACAACAGACTGTCTAGACATTGTCCTTTTTGTACAGGCTCTTACTGAAAATCCTGTTCCCTGACATTGTGTTAACAGAGAAAAGGAAGGAAAAAAATGTGCTGTTCTCTTTTTTTTCCCCCCCCTCTCCTTTCTTTCTCCTAGGATGGAGGTTGTTACGGAGATCTATTTTGTAAAGCACTGAAAACATACAATATGCTTTGCTTTGGAATTTATCGATTAAGGGATGCACATCTAAGTACTCCCAGCCAATGCACTAAACGGTAAGTCCAGAACACCTCTGCTTCACTGTTCTTCAGTCTTCTCGGCAAGGAAGTTCCCAGTGCCTGGAATAAATCTTAAAAAGAGCTTTCTCCACTTTTTACGTAACTTTGCCACAAAAGCTAACTCTTTGAGGACTTCATGATGACTCTTTAGCTGAGTTTGAATCACAGGCTGGATATCATAGCATAAGTTTGCAGCTAATTTAAATCCAAAATTTTTAAAATAAATTTTCAGAACATATCTTTATCTTGTTTGATTTATGTTGATCCAGTGCTTGCATACAAGGAAAGGACTTCAGTTTGCTTATATCAACCAGCTGTAAGTTACTGGACAATAATTTAGATTATAGTAGCTAGACTTCCTTTTTTCTGAATGGCCAGAAAATACTCCCGTGGGCTTCCCATTGGTACTATCTGTATCTAATCATCATTTCCTCCAGTAAATGGAAACCCTTCTCTTGGCAGGCCGCATTTTTACTTCAGCAGCACCAAGGCTGACCTCAGTGCTTTAAATAGAGCAGACACATTTCCACCTTTGCAAACTGAAGGCCATTTAGCAGCTTACTTGAAATGTGCCTTAATTAAGTGCCTACTAGAAATACACACACGGACCCACACCAGAACTATCACAAATCTACCATCTGTTACTGTTTCATTCTCCACAAAAAGCATCATTATTGGGTGAACATGGCAATAAACAACCCTGCAGCCCACCGAAGCGGTTTCTTCTGTAAGGATTTGGACAAATTGGGTAGAAAAAATGATTTTCAGTTTAGATTTACACTGTACTTGCTATACTTGGGATTATTTGTTGGATTAATAAGTGATTTCTGTCCCTGAGGCAGCTAAGCCAGATTTCTTAGGAGCACTTTCTTTGAAAAGAAGTTGTGAGCTTCATGATCTATTTTTACTCATTTCTTGCTTGGACAGAAGATGCCTATTGTCTTGCTCAAATATGTTTTTCACATGCACGAAAAAATTTAGCAACAGCGTCCATAAGTCCTTTCTGTCCTGAAAGGGGTTTAGTTGAAGGTGAGGATTCATGAAATTGATAGAGTTTTTATTTCAGGCCTGTGATGTATACTTAGCAATGCTGGATTCTTGGATGTTCAGATTTCTCTTTATAAATGTTCTTTGAGGCCATGAATGTACATGTGAAATGAATGAACAAAATTAACCTCACTGCAAATTTGCTGGTATATTTTCCTGAACTTGTTTTATGTACAGTCACAATCCAAACATAATTGTATCCCTTGCTCTATTGACAGTATCTAAATATTTAATAAATATATAGTAAATATGTATTTAAATATAACTGCACCTAAAATCCTCCTCTCCCTGCTTTTCAGCCATTCTTTTAAATACCGTTGCTGGTGGGTATGTTACTCGTTTTTGTCAATATGTAAATCTGTTTGCTAGAGTCATTACATTACGGTGCAGCTAGAAAAAGGAGGGTGATTTGTATGGTGTCTTCTCTGAAAAACCATGACGTGATTCATTTGAAGAACATTCTACTCAGACAGTATGTCTGTGCAAGAGAAAACATACAAAAAGTGATATCTGACATAAGAAGGTCCTAAATCACAACGGGTATTATGTGAGCTAAAATTAGGTATGGATTGAAGGAAACAGAAATGCAAAAATCTAGGTAAATGTTCATGAGATAACAACTCTAGAAGAAATTTTTTAGTACAAATCTAAACCTGCTTTCTCTTCCTTTCTTTCTTTCTTTCTTTCTTTCTTCCTTTCTTTCTTTCCAGTTATGTTATCACAAACCCACCGTATGAATTTGAGCTTGTGCCGACAGACTTGATCTTCTGTTTGATGCAATTTGACCACAACGCTGGCCAGTCCCGGGCCAGTCTTTCTCATTCCTCCCATTCCTCCTATTCTTCCAGCAAGAAGAGCTCATCAGTTCACTCCATCCCATCAACAGCAAACCGACCGAACCGCACCAAGACCAGGGATTCCCGGGAAAAACAGAAGTATGTGCAGGAAGATAGACTTTGATATGTGTACCTGCTCCCACTGTGTGTGAAACTTGCATTCACCACCCATTCTCCCCAGTTAATGTTTCCAGCAGTAATGTTCCCTGTTTTCCCATGGAGTTCTCCCTTTTTGTACACATATTTTGCATATGTATGACAGTGTGCATGTGATTGTCATTTTTATTTCACCACCATAAAACCCTTAAGCACAACAGCAACAAAGCAGACGGACCAAAAGTTATTTATGATGCTAGGGGAGAAAAAAAAAATTCTAAACCCATAGGCACACTGAAAACATAAATAACTCACTGCAGTTACTCGACATATCAGAAAATAGAGTATATTTAACATGAACACTTGCTCTTGATGTCAGAGTTACACAAAGAAAGTCATTTAGTGCAGAAGTGTTGATGTATGTTGCGGTAGGTTTTTTTATATTCGTATTTACAGGAGTTGCTACATTTATTTGAAGCTTATAAAACTAACCCATTGAAAAAAAAAACACAAAAAACCCAAAAAAAATCATCAACCAAAAAAATCCCTACTGATTTTTCACTCTCAAAGCTTATATTGTATAGGGCTTATACTCTTTGTATAGATTATTGCTACGCACCTGCTTTATACCAAAGCAACATCAGGGACTTTTCTGCTTGTTTAAGGACTTTCTCTAAAATAGTAGCCTTTCGGAGATAGTATCTTTTCCCTTTAACACTGAAATTGTCTAGGCATGGAGTTGTAAAACTCCAATGGTTTAATTTAAGTTTAGAAAGAGTCTAATTGCATATTAAATTATTATTCTGTCTATTTATACTGCCACATGAATAGCTTAATTTTCTTTCACTTTTGACATTTGGGATAAAAAGCCATATGTATCATAAATATTGGATGTAAGTCATTAAAAACTGCCTTTCTGGGACTTTTACATCTTTAAAAGGTGAATTAGTCACCTTATGTACAAAATAAATAATGTTCAGAAAAGAGCAAGCATTTTTCTATGCTTAAGTATCAGATCTCGAGGGACTTTGTTCCTTTCCCCAGATGGTAGTTTAACTTTTCCAAGTTAGAGTGGTGGTATAAATCTTCCAACAAGAGTCCTAATATGCGAAGGTCCTCCAGAAATCCTGCTCCATGTTCTAGCTGGTTCTTTTCAACAGGCGCATGCCAGTATGCAGGAATACAGGGGAAGACAACTGAGTGCCTTTAAGATCTCTCCCATTTGGGAAGAAACGGTGCTATGCCCTAGACAGCTGATGAGCAGAACAAGAGGGCTGGGGTGGAAATATCCACTGTGCTGAGGCATCATGTTCTAGGCACTTGCCAGAGCGTGGTTCTTGCAGATTCTCACCAATGACACACCTAGCCAAACAAAAATCGTGGCAGGGAATTAAATAAAGTAGCGGAAGGGAACCTATCCTAGTCAGCCATAGAAATGATACTTCAAGCTTGTTTTTTTAATGTCAAATGCCAACCTTTTGAAATACAGAATTAGTTCTAGGTGGTATGAAGAGTTTCCCAGGGTAGGGAGGCCAGAAACACGTACCACCTTCCCTGGCTACCCAGCAAGAAAGCATGCAGACAGAAAATAAATATTTGGATGCAGGAGTGATTAGCATTGTAACTGCCAACCCAGACAAGGTGCTTTTATGGTTAGTGTTGTTTTCTACCTTCCCCTTCCCCAAGCATGATAATTTTGAAGACTTGCTTGCTGTGTGAATTGACAATGAAGCCAAGCACTTTTACTGACAAAACCTGGAACCATATAAGTGGGCTACAGAGAGTACCACTGCGCAGTGTTAAGCATAATGATTGGAATGCAGTATATATGTGTGTGCGCATTCAAATGCAGCTGTAAGTCCTATCAGCGAAATACGTTGCAAATTATCGATGCTCCCCTACAAACAAGTCTATTACAGTTGCTCTTCATCATAAAGACAAATTCACGTGTTTCTTTTTGCAAAGAAAGTTATCATGTTTTGCCCTAAGAATATTTATTACTACAAGGATGTGCCAGTTAAAGTGCTCAACAGGAAATATGACAGTTTAAAAGCATTGTAAAACTTACATAGCTTACTTCTTTTTCTAAAGTGCAACAAGGATGAATAGAATGGGCCAAGGTATGACAATTAATGGTTCTGCATGACCTAGCAACTGCTGTGGGTTTCCTTCTATAACTTTGTCCTTGTGAAAACTTGTGAAATTAAAAAAAAAATAGTTACAAACTTTATTCAGTTATTGGTTTGTTTGTTTGGTTGGTTGTTTTGTTGGTTTTCTTTTGCCTTTTTTTTCCCTCCAAACCAGAAGTAAAACTGGCTGCTGCTGCTGCTGCTGCTGTTGCTCAACCCTGTTTTATTTTTTATCCTCTCATCTGCTTGCCTTTCTAATTGCACGTGTCCTTTTGTAAACACCCAGGTTCCTGCTCAGTGAAGATGCCTACCCTGGTGCAGACATGACTTTAATTTCCCATTCCTCATTACAATTCCTTCCCTCCCTTCCCCTCCCTACTCCCCTGTCCCCCGTGTATGTTCATGAGCATCTTTTTATGTTGGCAATATTGACTGAAGATAGTCGAGAGCAGTTATGCATTTTGGAAGAATGTTAATGGCTTTGACACCAAAATGCTTTTCCATTAATGTTTTATCTGTTTTCCATTTAGCAGAGGAAGGAAGGGTGTTAATCTGAAGCCACTTGTCACATACTACATAATTATTTTATCCAAAAAAATAGTATTTGTATAACTGTGCAGCTCAAATAGAAAAAATATAAACAGTGTACATTAGAGAAGCAACTTGTCTACTTTGTGAGCAACAGAAGAGGAATATCTAATATGGACGCAAATCTGAATTCTTCAAATCATATTGAAGCCTAATTCTCCTCCGTCTTCTGTCCTAAAGTCGGAAGTCTTAAAGTTTTGACTTAGTTATACCATGTGCAATTTTCACTGCTAACTATAGTCAAATTGACCGAATAGTTTATTACAGTGATGAAGATTTTCTGATACGGATATTCTAATGAAATTGGGAGGTTGGTCATTACAAGTAGAGGAACGTTTAAATCAACTACGTTACGTTGTCAACATTTTTTGTATTGGAAAGTAACAGGAAATCTCCCGTTTGTTCAGAAACCTATCCCAAGTCAAACGTTCTTAGTAACTACCCTGGTTAGGTTTTGAAAGTGGAAAAGCAGCACCAATGTCAAGAGATGACATTTTAGAGCTTTAAATGGAGGTCCTGCCACTTACTTCAGTCCCAGCATGGTTTCGACAATGGAAACTAGGTTCTTAGTCATTTTGTTGATCTGAGTGTTGACACAAAACCACATCTAGCAAACCTGCAGGTTCTTGGCATGGGTTCCCACTGCCCTAAACTGGCAGAGTCAGGCATTTTCCGGTGAAATTACCATTGTCAAAAGTAAGAACTTTGCTAGTTTAAAACACAAAAAAATCAACAAGAGTTGATCCAGAATGGCATTTTTGTCCCAAAACTTTAGTTGCCTTGGGGCAAAATAAAGGCCTTCACAGAAAGTAAGAACAGTTTCTTCTCTCTCCCTGCAAATTACTTACTGCCTGCTATATGTAAAATATTCATCTGCCAAACAAAGAATTGCTGTGGAGAATCTTTCATTACTTTTTTCTCATACAGGAAAAAATTGCATGGGAGAATTTTCAGCTTAGCTATAAACAAGCTGCCTATGTGGAGGGGGGGAGGCACACAAACACATACACACAGACTCATTTGAAACTGCAAGTGTCATGAAAGAAAAAAAAAAAAGCGTGTTTAAAACTATTGCAAGGTAACCTGGGATGATGGTGAGAATACAGATTTAGTAAATCTTTGTGTCACGTTTAGCTAGTACTTTCTTTGCCTCTGCTCAGAAGAGAGGGTGTTTCACAGTGACATTTATTCAAATGTGATTACTCAGACCAGAATTAATGACAGAAATTTAAAAGCACCAGAACAATAAATCTGTTGGAGAGAATTGCTAGAGTCTTACACAAGTTGAAGAAATCTGTATTTTGATCATTTTACTTTAGTTATTTATATCTTCTTATGCTGCAGGGAAAAGTCTTACACAAGATGTTAATTTTTATTTATTTGTAATAAGAGCATGAAGCCTTTAGAACCTCCGTGGACACATTGGGATGCTGATAGCCCATTGCAAACACAGGTGTTTGAGGGGAAAGTAAATGTTTTCTGCTTTCTGATACACGAAGTTACTTAGCTGTTCCAACACCTCTCAGGTGGTGCTGTCAAAAACAAACCCGTCAAACAGTGTAGGAAGATGAGGGACTCTCCTGAACAGCTCTTAATGAAATAGAAAACTATGCCTGTTCTCACTATAATGTAGAAACACATATGGTAAGGATCGACATGCCAAAAGGGAGAGAAACAGACTGAACAGGACAGAGAACTGAAAAAAAGTTGGTGAATATAACAAAATATGAAGACTTAAAAAAGGTTTTCTGGACTGATTTAAAGGAAAGAGTAAGTAGTTTGTTTAAGATACGTAAAAATCTGTGCTAAGACTTTGAAAGGCGTATCGAAGTCAGACTGTGGGCGTAACAAAAAAGCTTGAGAAGTGGGTAAGGGATTCAAGAAGGACATTTAGTAATTGGGAGCAGAATATCTTAGTGGCTGTGAGTAAAGATGAGTGTCAAGCTCACATTTCAAAGGTAAGTATACAGGTCGATGGACTTTCACAGGCGACTTGTCATTATGTGGTCAAAGACAATTTTAACGGCAGAAAAGGAACAGGAAAGGTATAAAGCTGGGTCCAAGCATTTGATGCTGGAGATGATAACGCCTGGATCAAGGTTTCACCACTGGCAAAAAGAAATTTAAACAGAAAAAGAAATTAGAATCTACCAGTTTCTGCACTTATTATTTATTTTCTGTATTTATTACTTGCCAGGTAAAGGCAAAAAAAGACTTGATGGTGTCTTTTTAAAGATCAGCTCCCTGGATATGAGTTTTATTGTAAAGATTAGCGTATAAACAATTGCCTTGTTTTGAAAATTCCAGGGAAAGCAGGGGAGATGGAAGTGCTTTACACTGGCTGCTGAGAAACACAGTGCAGTTCATCCCTGATCCTCAGCACTCATGCAGTTCTCCCCTTTCTTGCGATGAGATTGAATTAACTTGCACCAACTTCTGTTTGTAAGGAAAGTTTGTGCACCATATGTTAAAAAAGAAGGTAGAGATAAAAGTTCACAGTGCTTAACTTGCCTCAAAATCATTTTAAACACAAACCATTAGAAAACTGTTAGTTTGAAATTGTTTATGTGATCTTGCAAGGCTTTTAAAACATGATAACCATCACACTTTACACCTCTCTGAAAGGTTAGTTTAATCGTAGATCACATAAAATTGGTTTCCACAAATGCATAATGGTTCATATGTCACACTTGAACTAAATGGTTTTTTAAATGGAGCTGAAATTATTTTGATGTGTACACATTCCCAGATTTTTTTTTTCCTACAACCTTTCTTAAACCAGCCCCCATCAGGAACCATTCCCTTAAAGTCTCATTAATAATTCAGATGTTCTGATGACTTTAAAAGATCTATGGAATTGAGGCTTTTTTTTTTTTTTAACTGCTTGACAAAAAGATAAATGAATGTAGAAAGAAGCAGTAGGAGTCTGGCAAGCTGTAGATCATCTCTGAACAGATTGTAACTTTATCATTCTGTCAGGAAGAATAATTTAAAGCACTTAATCAGTTAGCTTCAGTGTGCAGGATGTAACATTATGAATTCCTATCATCCAATCTGTTCAAATCAAAGGGAACTTAATTATAATAGGTAAGAGAGAGAGAGAGAGAGATGGGAGATTGAACATTGTTCAGACTCGGGCAACTTTAAGGTGGCAGGGAACTATTCACCTGATCACAAATGAGTAGGATATTTTAAAAAGTAGGATATCATTAAAAAATGAGTAGGAAATTTTAAATATTACAAAATATTATTTTCTAAACTGTCTTTTACAAAATGACAAGACAGTTGTTCTGTTTACCTTCAGTAATAAGCCACTAATGATTAATACGATTCCTTTTTTTCAGTTTAAATTTTTTAAAACGCATAAGCACAGGTAACAAATATATCTGCAAGACAACGACAACAACAACAACAAAAGATGGATTAAACCATTTAGGGGGTTGTTGTTGGGGGCTGGAGGTGTTGCATGTAGATCCTTAAAATCCATATCAAGTATAAGTGTTTAAATTTCATATTCATGAAAGTGACTGAGAAGTCCAGTAATTCTGGAAATCAATCCACTTCTTTAGAGGCCCTAACTTGGAATCTAGTTGCTTATTTGTATGCATTTATGCCCAGATATTTGTCCTTTATTCTTCCTCATCTTCCAGTTTCTGTTCTCTGCTTCACCTCTTGAGCTTTTGCGCTCGATCCTTGGGTTTCTGAGGTGGATTTTGCTTTTATTTATTTATTTATTTATTTAAAATGAGCACTCCTTCCACTCCTGCCCTGATTCCAGCCCAGATACAGCAGCATTTCAGTGGTAAGCAAAAGTGGCAGTTTGTATTATGCAAGTGAGACACTAAAGCTTCTGAAGCATTTTGGGTTCCCCATTGGAATGAGAGGTAGTGCATACATGTAAGAGAGCAGCTCTGTTGTGCCCCCATTGCAGAATCCCATCCCTGGAACCATTTGTGCCCACTCTCTGCACACCCATCTCTGGAACTTGGGGAAGGAGGGTGAGCATGGAGACCCCTGTTCACAAATGCTTGTCAAAGCACAAGCACCTAACGACCATCAGCGACTCCAAGACCAGGAGTTTCTAAGTCTTTGAATAGAGATACCTTGTAAAGTTGCACACGTGTAATTAAGAAATGACAGCAGTAATTGCTCTCAAAAGGGCTTACGAAAATTCTTTTGCCTTTTTTTTTCTTTTGAGAATTTTAAGAAGTTTTTGTCCACATCTGCCTATGAACAATGCAATATAGTGGTTACAATCATAAGCAGCTAGGGCATGGCTGCAATGCTGCAGCCTCTCAGCATCCTCGCTCCCTCCCACATTAGCCCAAAAGAGAACAGTTCACCATTTCCACGATCACGGAAACAGACACTGCCCAAAGATATAAAAGGAAGAGCTTCCCTTCTAATCTTCCTTTGAGTCCTTGCTTCCTTTGCCTTGCTGTCATGTATCACTACCAACCCATTCAGGATTAACTTGAGCCCCTACTGCAGTCATCTGCAGCATCAGGCATGTTC